AGTAAATTACCGTTAAGAGATCATGTGTGAACAGGACCTTTTCAAAAATACCGGTAAATTTGTTCTGGCAATTTACTGGTATGAGAAGCTGTAACATTACCAGTAAATTACCGGTAATGTGTTCTGTGTGAACGCAGCACAAGATTACCGTATGAGCACGTATGAGTTCAGAACGCGCTGCCGTAAGACGTCTACTCTGGGCCAATCATGACATTCTGACGCAGATGACGCATTTACTCTGTGCTGTTTACGGGAGACAAAGAAATGTGTAAAGTCGTCTAATACGACGTCTCTGCAATAGCTGCATGAGTGTGAACGTTTGACACATAAGTGAAAACATCAACAAAAACACTGACTGCGTTTAACCCTCCATGTTTACAGACACAGCTGTTTAGAGGTAATTTCTGGTTAATGATGTCACAGAATTTACCGGTATTTTGAAACTGATGTGTGAATGGTGCTTTACCGGTAAATAGACGGAACGCCGTTGCTTGTGTGAACAGCGCATTTTTTAATTTACTGGTAAAGTCGTTCCGGTAATTTTATGGGAATTTACTGGTATTACTGTGTGACAGGGGCTATTGTAGAACTTGTAGAAGTTCTTATGACGTCATTGAACTTTTTTGAGTTCCACAATGTTACAGAACATTAAAAAGTTCCATGACGTCAAAGAACAAGTCCTAAAAACGTCATAGTAGAAGCGTTTCGAGTTCCTATGATGCCATTGAACCTTCTTGAGTTCCACAATGTTATAAAACATTTTATGTTATCTATGTTAACATTATTATTATTGTTTAAACATTATTTTAAGACAGTTGTGGAGTTCTTGAAATATTCTGTGCACTACACTTAAAGAACACCTTAGAAATGTGGTAACCATTTTTTCTACAGTTCCCAAAGTTGTTTCAATGATTAAATAATATGGGCAATCTATAGATGAAGCTGTATTTATGTAAATTAAACAATATGGTGTACTACTGGAACATTACAACTCAACAAACCTACAACATCATATTAATATAAATGTTTTTCGTTACACTTTTCTAATAAAGTCATAGTAGAACCATTTAAAATTTCTATTATGTCATTGTAACTTCTTAATTCCACGAAGCAAAGAACATATTAAGTCCTAAAAATGTCATAGTGGAAACATTTCAAGTTGTAATGATGCTATTGTACCATTAAGTTCCCATTATGTCATAGAAGATTTTAAAGTCGTAGCAGAACCCTTCTGAGTTTCTATGATATCACACAAAAACCTTTTTGATGTTCTATGGTTCTTTACAATGCATCTATTTGTTGATGATATCTAGAACTAATACACTGATATGGCCAATCATGTAACCTCAGGAACATTTCTGAATCTCCAGAGAACCATATATCCAACAAGACCAGAAATAGACTGAGACTGTGTGTAAATGCTCCAGCAGGCCTTCAGCTCCTGTATTCAGCATCGCAGAAACGCTTCTGGCACAGATCACATACATTCTGACAGAAGACACACACGGTGACACACTGACAGATACAGCAGGGTTAATGAGGAAGATAAATGAATCGCGCTTACCTGCAGCATCTTACCGAGCAGCCGCGATCCGCTACACCGACACGAATCCACCGAGACGGACTCGGAGAGAAATACGGACAGATCTGTCAGCCCTGCCGTCGATTTGTGCGAGAATAATCGCGAGGATGCTGCAGTGTTTCCAGTGATGTGGGTGAGGTGATCCATCTACTACACACTCTCACACATGCGGTGTGGAGGCACGAGAGAGAAAGAGAGAGAGAAAGCGAAAGAGAGAGAGAGAGCTGCTCTGCGCACTCAGCACTTAACCGCATCACTGCCGGAGTCTCTCGACAAACCCAAAATATCAGTTTATCTACTCATATCATCAATCTAACTGGACCGAAATGGAGTTAAAGGAACACTCCACTATTTTTGAAAATAGGCTCATTTTCCAACTCCAGAGTTAAACAGTTGAGTTTTACTGTTTTCGAATCCATTCAGCCGATCTCCGGGTCTGGCGGTAGCACTTTTAGCTGTAGCTTAGCATAGATCATTGAATCTGATTAGACCGTTAGCATCTCGCTCAAAAATGACCAAAGAGTTTCTATATTTTTCCTATTTAAAACTTGACACTTCTGTAGGTTACATCGTGTACTAAGACCGACGGAAAATGAAAAGTTGTGATTTTCTAGGCCGATATGACTAGGACCTATACTCTCATTCCGGCGTAATAATCAAGGAACTTTGCTGCTGAGTGCAGCAGGCGCAATGATATTACGCAGCACCTGAAAATAGTCCCCAGCACGCTCCCGGTGGTCACTTTGGTTATGTTGACGGAAGTTAGCCTATTTTCAGGCGCTGCGTAATATCATTGAGCGAGATGCTAACGGTCTAATCAGATTCAATGATCTATGCTAAGCTACAGCTAAAAGTGCTACCGCCAGACCCGGAGATCGGCTGAATGGATTCGAAAACGGTAAAACTCAACCGTTTAACTCTAGGGGAGTTGGAAAATGAGCCTATTTTCAAAAATAGTGGAGTGTTCCTTTAACACACTGCTGCCATGTACATTTCAAAATTACGTAAATTAACAAATCATAAACTAGTACATTGATAACACAAAATATAAATTCATGACTAAATATTGTGACCGTGCAAAGGTACTGTGCCACTGAATGATGTTAGCGAGTTAACTCATTATCCGGAGAATGTAAAGCGGACAAAAGGGAATTAAAAAATCAGTTTTAGGGATCTATTTTAACTTTAAATAGATAATACCTAATGTTGTGAGAGTTACATATCAAAACGATATTAACTTACTTTTCTTAATGAGGCTGCAGCTTTACATTTTGAACCGTCGCCGGTGGGAACAACATTTTACCCAGCTGCTGGGTTGTCGTTAAAATAACCTAACAACGTAAACAATTACCGTACCTTTTTATTTATTTATTTATTTATTAAATTACCCAGTATAGCCAGTGGTTGGGGTTAAAAAAATATTTTATTAATTTATAAAGATTTGGTCTGCCGGAAAATCTCTTTATTTTAATTATGTTATTTTCTGCATATTACATATTTTATATATAAACTATGGGCCAGACTGACTAAACAGGACAAATTAGCGTGAGAGCGCAATTCCCAAAAAGCGCTAATGGGAGTGGAAAATACTGGGGAAATTGTGCAAATGGTTATCCAAAAAGGATATAGTGATGATAACCAGCTAAACCTTCAGCCATTTGGACAAGCTCAAAGATCATCTCATAAATCATAAACTGAATCATTTCAGAGGTAAATGTAATGAGGAAGGACTAGTTTAAAACTCACCCCACACTCAAACACATCCAGAAACACATCAAAGGTTCTTCTGGACAGCAAAATTACATTTACTGACATGTGCAATTAGGATCTGACACTTTAGTTTAGACAAGATGTAACTAGAGAACCGAAGACAGATGGAAGTATTAATAAGTTGTCTGAGTAGTGTGTTGAGTGTCATCGAGTAAATCACACAGAGATTCCACCATCCTCTCCATCAGCACATACACCTGAAACACACACACACACACACACACGCACACGCACACACAC